GAGCTTAGGGCTGCAGTTTGTTGTTATCTTTTTTTTTTCCCTATTTCAATGTTTTATGCTTCACATTAAATAGGAGAGGATAACATATTTTGATTTGTCGTCATGTATTTGAAAGAAACTTGATCTTATCTTCTAGTTTGGAACAATGGGCAGAGCCTTAGGGCTTCTCTTACTCCACTGTTTTTCATTGTTGTAATTTCCTAAAAGAGGAAGGGCAAAAGTCTTAATTTCCCTAACTAACGCTCGTGCCTTTTGTTGTTATCTTCTTTTTTTTCCTATGGGCAGAGCTTAGGGCTGCAGTTTGTTGTTATCTTTTTTTTTTCCCTATTTCAATGTTTTATGCTTCATATTAAATAGGAGAGGATAACATATTTTGATTTGTCGTCATCCTCTAGGTTTCGACCTGTGTATTTGTTAAGTAGAGTCAGTTATGTAGCAAGTGACATCTGAGATAAGTGTCAAAATTTATTTTTCTTCTACTTCTTTTACTTGTATTTTGGGAGTAGCCTTATGAAAATGGCCTGATGTACTTAGAGGAAGCTAATGGAACTTGCTCAATGAATATTGCAGGGCTTGTCAAACAGGAGAACTGGCGCTACTAGTATAAACGCTGAGAGTTCACGTTCTCACAGTGTATTTACTTGTGTTGTTGAATCACGATGCAAGGTAATAGATTCTTGTGTCCTTGTGACTATCATCTGATTTATAACGATCCTCTAGACCTTTTACGTTTCTTTATTACAACAAATCTAATCTCTATTAAAAATACCAACGACTAAATTATGCATGGTCTGTTCTTTGTCATTTTTGGTTGTAAAGAACTTTACATATTGAGGTGTCTGTGACGGTGCATAGAAAAACTTGCTATAATTCATAGTAGTCTGTTGTATTTGAGATTTGAAAATGTTTCTCTGTTGATCTTATATAAACTTTTATTTTCAGAGGATGGCCGATGGCTTAAGCTGCCTGAAGTCAAGTAGGATAAATCTCGTAGATCTTGCCGGGTCAGAAAGGCAAAAGCTAACTGGTGCAGCTGGAGATCGCCTGAAGGAAGCTGGGAACATCAATCGCTCCCTGTCACAGCTGGGGTATTTTCTTAAGTTGCAAATTCTCTGTTGTTTGGCCATAAAAAAGATAGCTATTTCATCTACTGTCCATAAACACACATTTCATATTTCTCATTAGCTAATTGAATGAAGAAGAAAGGGTTGGTCCATTTAAAGATGTAACAAATTTTACTTCATTCAGCAATCTTGGCCTTGGCACCATAGGAAAATTTCCTTTATCTTTTGGTTCAAGAAGAGTCAGGCACCATTGAATTGATCCATCTAGGGATCCTTTTGTCTTTCTGGTAGTTGTTTGCTTTCCTGGTGCGATTATGTACATTGTTGACGGGGAAAAGAGTTCGCCTTTAATCTCAAGTGAAAGACATTCTTCAAAAAGGGGTTGCTAGAAAAGTCCGTGTCTAATAGTAGCTTCCTGGAATCTGAACATTTGAGACCTGTTACCAATGAACATGGGCAGGATCCTCTAGAGCGAGTGCATGACATATTCATTGATGTCAGAGAGTGTTGCCAGTAAATATATAAATCTTATTAAATCTCAAACTGTGTGTAACAGAGTGGGTGCCTAACTGATTGTTACTGTTTTTTCTCCTATAACTAGAAGTCATTATAAGACTGGGTTGACTATTTCTGTTCCTTTCTATATCCTGCCAAAGTTGTACAGGATTGCGTGAACACCGTTTCCCTTATTTGTAGAATTGCAACATAGTGAAATAAGAAGCTTCCTTTTCATGTAAGACTGTTCAGGAATTATTATTTTTGCCTCATGTAGGGTGTCATATTTGTAATTTTTCATCTTTTCCTTCTGTCTTCTTGTTTTAGGTTAAATTTTTCACGTTTGGTTCTGATTACACTTTTTTTTGAGATCTACAGGAACTTGATAAACATTCTAGCAGAAGTTTCCCAAACAGGAAAGCATCGGCACATTCCCTATAGAGATTCCAAGTTGACTTTTTTGTTACAGGAATCTCTTGGTGGAAATGCAAAACTTGCAATGATATGTGCCATTTCTCCAGCCCCGAGGTAGAGTTAGGACGTACTTTCCTTATTTGTATTTCATTCACGTAAAGTTTACATTTCAATTTATTTTATTTAATTGTTGATAATTTTTACGGTCTTTTATTTGGTAATGCAGTTGTAAGAGCGAGACTTTCAGTACCCTGAGATTTGCCCAACGCGCAAAGGCAATCAAGAATAAGGCAGTTGTCAATGAGGAAATGCAGGATGATGTAAATGTCTTGAGGGAAGTTATACGACAGTTAAAGGCAAACACTTAAATCCTTTTGTTGTTAATATCTATCTTAACGATCGGCGTAGTCCTTGGTTATGCGTCTTGGTTGAATGAACTATGCGTCTTGGTTGAATGAACGCCTTATTTTCCTTCCTCTTTACAGGATGAGCTGATAAGAGTGAAGGCCAATGGCTCTCAAGCAGATCAAAATGGAAATTATTCATCAGGGTGGAATGCGCGTAGAAGCTTAAATCTTTTGAAATTCAGCCTCAAACGTCCAATAGATGATGATGGTGACACAGAAATGGAAATTGTTGAGGAAGCCGAACTATTAGGTCTCTTACCAGAAGGAAGTAAAGAGATTGGAATCTTGCGAAAAACTCTTTCCAGGAATTCCTTGGTTGTTGCTCCTGAAGGACATGACGAAGAAAAGGAGAACACAACCAAGAGAGAGGAAGGTTCCGAGGATACAGACGTTACCATGGAGGAAGAGGTATCTGAACATGTCCAACCTGAAAACAAAGTTATTGATTGTGCTGGGGTGAGGAACTTGGATAATTGTTCCATGGCTGTAGAAAATGTTGAGGCCGCTTTGAAGAAATCCATGTCGAAGAGGCTTGATAGTGATCTTTCTCGAGAGCCTATTGAAGTAGAGTGTCTTCCATCGCTGGCCATTAATTTGCATCATGGAGTAAAGAGGGAACTGGTAGAAGAAACAGCCTCAGAGCAATGTGAAGACTACAATGAAAGAACTCCTGAAAACTCTTCTAAATGCTTGGATGGTGATGCAGCTTGTACGGACCTTAGCATAGTTACAAATGATAAATCTCCCATTTTAAAGTCACCCACTCCAAGCGTTTCACCAAGAGTTAATAGCAGTAGGAAAAGTCTTAGGACATCATCGATGCTGAGTGCTTCTCAGAAGGATCTTAGAGAGAGTAAGTTGGACGCACCACATTTGTCCTTTGCAAAGCCTTCTAACAGTATTTGTTTGAACTCTCAACCTAATCAGAGAAGTAAAAGTTGTTTCACGTCGACTGAGCATTTGGCTGCTAGTCTACATAGGGGACTTGAAATTATAAGTAATCACCAAAGTACATCTTTGAGGCGGTCCTCATTCAGATTTTCTTGCAAACCTGCTGATATTAGAGCAATTATACCAGTTGCTAAAGCAGATGTGGGCATCCAAACAAGTATTAGAGATTCAATATTTTTGTGTGGTAAATGTAAGGCAAGAAACTCCCAGCAAGAGCTTAAAGATGCCAACAATGACTCAAACATGCAGTTGGTACCAGTTGATGGATCACAGTTGGTACCTACTGATGGATCACAGTCCTGCGAAAAGTTCAAGATTCAAGTACCCAAAGTAAGTTTGAAGATTTTATGAATTTTTGGCTTTTGTAATCTCTAAAGTACTTATTCATGTGCAATATTTTCTTTGTTTACAGGCAGTAGAAAAGGTATTGGCAGGAGCAATACGGAGAGAGATGGCACTGGAAGAAATATGTGCCAAGCAAACTTCTGAGATCATGCAACTCAACCGCTTGGTAGGTTTGATTGGTCAATTGTGCAACTTTCTACTTTCATTATTTCCTTCTGATGTTGAACATGTCTTGCAAACAATGGCAGATTCAACAATACAAACTTGAGCGAGAATGCAACGCCATTATTGGCCAAACACGGGAGGATAAGATTGTTCGCCTTGAGAGCTTAATGGATGGAATCCTACCAGCAGACGAGTTCATGGAGGATGAACTGTTATCACTCACTCATGAGCATAAGGTATATGTCTGACTTGAACTTTGGCTATTGATATCTACAATTTCTCCTCCTGCTATACATAACTAACTCATCGTTTTCAGCTTCTGAAGGAGAAATATGAAAATCATCCAGAAATTTTAAGTACGAAAATTGAATTAAGAAGAGTTCAAGATGAACTGGAACGGTATCGTAACTTCTTTGACTTAGGTGAGAGGGAAGTTTTGCTGGAGGAGATTCAGGATTTGAGAAGCCAGCTCCAGTTTTATGTAGATTTTTCATCAAAGTCATCCAAGAAAGGAAATTCACCTCTGCAATTAACTTATCCATCCGAGTCAAGTGAGCCTTCGCCTTTATCCACTATTCTAGAGTCAACTGAGGTGAGTGCTGAGCAGAGACTTGAAAGAGAGAGGATTCAATGGGCTGAAACAGAAAGCAAGTGGATTTCTCTTGTAGAAGAATTGAGGTTAGACTTAGATGCTAGCCGCAGCATGGCGGAAAAGCATAAACAAGAACTAGATTTGGAGAAGAAGTGTTCGGAAGAGCTAAAAGAAGCAATGCAGATGGCAATGCAGGGACATGCACGCATGCTTGAACAGTATGCTGAACTCGAGGAGAAACATATGCAATTGCTTATCAGGCATAGGAAGATCCAAGATGGTGTAGAGGATGTCAAGAAAGCAGCTGCAAAGGCAGGAGTCAGGGGTGCTGAATCCAAATTTATCAATGCTCTTGCTGCAGAAATTTCAGCTCTAAAAGTCGAAAGGGAAAAGGAGAGGCGAATGTTTAGGGAGGAAAATAAGGGGCTTCAGGCTCAACTGAGGGATACTGCTGAAGCTGTACAAGCGGCTGGTGAATTGCTTGTGCGGCTTAAAGAGGCAGAAGAAGCTATTGCAGCCGCTGAGGTGAGTTCTTGGAATCATTCATTTCCTAGTTGCACTTTATTTTATCAGCATGTATTTTCTCATCATTGCAGCACTATAGCTTGCTTTCCAGGTCATGTACAGTCAACTACTCATTATGCTACTCCTTGCATCATTATGTATCCTATATGTCTATGTCTCCACCTCTTCTCCCATCCTTTTCTTTTACTTTCTTTTTCTAATTTTCTACATAAATTTTTTCTGTTAGGCTATCTCTCTTACTAGTATAGAGAAAAGAAGTCTACCTTTCTCTATGCTAGAGCATACGGGGAATCTAATCTAAAAAACCAATATATGAACAAGAGAGCAGACGGGGTAATAAAAAGAGTAAATCAATCGAATAGCTAGTCCTTCCTTTCTTTCTCCTTCCCCATTTCAGGTTTTAGAAGAGTTAGTTTCTCGCGGGGCACCTTTACTAATTTTCCCCTTTCTTTTTTGCTGGCTGGATTAGCTAGCTTAAGAGTCTGGCATTTTGAATGCTTTTGCGTAATTGTATCCCTGTAATTCAAGGCTCGTCATGTAGGTGAGGTTAACGAGTATTTGAACTAACCTGCAGAGAGATTCTGCTTTTGTCTCATAACAAGGAAACCTTTCTTATAATCAATCTTACTGCCTTCTTCCCATAATAAGGAAAATTTCGTATTGTCTTATCTGAACAGATGCCACTCTTGCTCGTTCTTCAGATTTTGGCATGCTTATTTGACTTTTTACTATGTGCCACGTAATCTGTGACCAATGCCACATCTTATTGAATGACGTGTAATGTGTAGTATTAATTTGTTTGTCTAGTCATTTTTCTTTTCAAAGTATAAATAAGCTAAGAACATGAAAAAAGGGAATAAACGATCCATATAGGTGATACCAGGCTAGTTGGGATTAGTTTAGCTGTTTTTAAACCTTTTTTCTTACTCTAGGAGTTTCTGTAGTCTAGTTAGAGATGTAGAGAACCTAAGCATTTCAAATAGATCAGGATTGTTAGAGAGTTGAAATAAAGTTGATGAATCTCTATGTATCAGTGGGATCATATCAAACAAAGAGTATGCTATTATTTTAGAATTAAGCAATTTGATGAACTACTGCCAATTTTAGAGGATTGCCAATTTTTCTTTAAAGACAATTAGTTTGTATTAAAATGAATGCGAGCCCAAACAGGGCAAAATGAATGCAGATGATTCATAAGCCAATCCCAACTAGCTCTATTTAAAGTTAAGTATTTTAATACACATATTACCTTCTTGATTTACATTTCGACACAGGATACATGATTTTCTTGAGCTGACATCACGTTTCAGAAGAAGCTTATGTGTCCTTTTTGTTTATTCTTTTCCGTTAGGCTGCATATGTTAACCCTCAGGGGTTGGCCTGGTGGCAATTGACTTGAGCCTTGGGGTTTGCTTCCTTTCAAGGTCTCAAGTTCGAAACCCACTGGATGCAAACAATTTTTGAGGGCCATGGGACTGGGTAAAACCTGAATTAACCGTGGTGAACTTGCGGGAAACTCCTTGCCGAGGGTCTGTGCACCCCCGGGATGAGTCGGGGCTCATAGAGACTCGGACACCCAGTGCAAATCAAAAAAAAATGTTAGATCTATTTGTAGGAATTCTGTTGTTAAGAATTAAGATTATGGATGGGAAAATGCTCCAAAGGTTTTCGATCAATACGTAACTTGACATTTCATCTGATTACATAGAATGTTTTTATTGTTTGATCTCTTACAAACTCTTTTTACAGTATTTATTTCTTTCCGTGCTTTTCTTGAATATATTACAGCTATGTCAGATAAGCATTTGGATCTGTTTTATGTTTGATTACTTGGTTCTCCAGAAGGAAGTTTCTGCTCATTGACAGTGAATGATGTAGTGCATCCACTGAAGAGATTGGCTATGTTAGCTTGAGCTATTGGTGTTACAATATTTAATCATGTTGTATGTGATTTTTCTATGACAAATATTTTGAACCTTGATTTTTCATGATGTATCATGAGAAATTGAAACAGCTTATATGTCGTTATTTGGTTGCCCTGAAGCACGTTACTCTTGCTTGGACATGTACTTTTGGCCAGAGTTATCTTATAAGTTTAAATGTTATGCAGAAACGAGCCATTGAAGCAGAGCAAGAAGCTAATGCGGCTTACAAACAGATTGATAAACTGAAGAAGAAACATGAAAGGGAGATCAACAATTTGAATCAGTTACTTGAAGTATCATCTCAACCTAAAGAAAGATCAGAAGCCATATACGATAATTCCGCGACAGCAACATATGAAGTAGGGGAGGTGAATAACGTCAGTGATAAGCAGTGGACAGAAGAATTCAAGTCAATCTACAATAGAGAAGAGGACTTGACAAATTTAGGAGAGCCATCTTCTTGGTTCTCAGGATATGACAGATGCAACATATAGACTAGGAAATGTTTGATGTAAAGGTGGTGTGTTGTATGTACCAATAATAGTGTTATATGATATGGTTTTGGAAAGGTGTAGCTTTTCTCTTCAAATTTCAATGATAGGAATTGATTGTATCGCCAATTGTGAAAAAACCAACTTATTGGATCATTCAAGCTCTTTGTGTCCAATTTCTAAAATTGCCCAATGGGAATGAAAAAAATGAATTTTGTTTTGCCCAAGTTCTTGTTCTTACTTTTTAATTTCAGATCTCAACATGCTCTGGCATACTGCTAGTGACTAATTTGGACTTGGTACAAGTGTCGGATTCAAGCCTCCAACAAAGGTATATTTCAATCTCTATCAAAGTTTCTACAATTTTATTAAGGATTCATACCTTGTACTCCTATTTTATCCTGTTTTCAATGGATGCATCAAGGAAAGTGAGAATCAAGCTTTTTTTTTATATATTTATCCTTACAAGACATTTAAAATTATATGTTTATGTAGGTGTTGAAAATTAACGTCTCAATCCCGAACAAGTGGGAGATCGGCGAAATGAATCCTCACATCTTCACTTAAGCTCTACTCATATCATCACCATATACAAGGTACGAAATGTGGTAAAGTGAGATTATATTTTTTTATTTAATTTTCGAAAAGTTTGGACTGTGCATTATTTGGATAGGGTAGGACCCAGAAGTAGAGACAATAGGAACTGTAGAAAGATACCAAGAAGGAACATGGATGTTTACTAGTAGCTTAGATCATTTATTTGCTTGGTTTTGGTGTCAAGTGGATAGGGGGCATTCTTCAAGTGGCTCAGACTAGTATGCCATTGCATTTTTGTGCAAGTATTTGAAGCCAAGAACAGACAGTCCATTAGTACTTGTGAAAACTTTGGCAGCTTTGTTGATATTGTAGTCTATCCTGTCAAGGAACCATTAAAGTAGCTTGTGGGATTGTCTTCTCTGACATGTAACTCTCCCTACTTGTGGACCATTTCTTTCTCTCTTTTTTGCACAGACACTTCTTTTTCACTTAAATACAAAAGATAGGAAAAGATACCATGTAGGCTCATACCCTAGCCATATATTAACCATGGAATTGAGATGTGGATCCCATAATTTTCTTTTTTATAACAATGTTTTTTGAGTTGAGAGGTGGAACCAAGATTAGAAGTATATGGGTTTGAATTTCTCATCAAATTATAGCTCGTTTCAGTTATTGGGTTGGGGATAAGCATTTATACATATTTAATGGATTTCCTAATAAAGTAAATACTTGGGCATGACTCCCCTATTTCACTGGTTAGACGCTTATCAAATAACTCTGTGATTAAGATTCAAATAGATAGGAAGAAATTACCTTTGTAAAATTATTTTTAATTTTTTTTTTCGAGAAACACCAGTTATCACATCAAAGGGTAAATACGTTTCCCATCCCAAGAGCAGGTTCAGTTTACCGAGTTGTTCGAGCACAAGTCATATACTGGCTTTGAAAAGCACAAATATTGTTGCAAGAGTTGAGGGATCTTACTCCTCATGAGAACTCGCTACAAATTATACCTTTTTAACCCATGTATGAGACTTTAAAATTACCCAAGAATTTGACATATATCCATATTTCTCCTTTATTATAGGAAGGGGTAGACATCTCCTTTAAAGAAAATCAATGGGGCAAATGATGATGATAATGACATGTAAATGAAACCTACCATTTTGATCATGAAAGGGAAATGGAACAGTAACATGGGGCAAGTTTTGGTTCTCTTTGTGGTCCATTAAAGATACACTGTTTAGTAACTACAATATCTCATTTGGCCCAATGAAAGAAACAAATCTTTGCAAAAAAGAAAATAGAAATTAAAATAGAAAGAGACTGTTTTTCTGTGGCTATAAATATTTTTCTTATTTCCAATTTACCAAATAGGAAGAAGAAAAAAACTGTCTACTTTCTGCTTCATTATTAAATAAAGTCAAATTAAATGTAGGTACTACATTTGCCCTCATGGCTTAGGTCTAGCAATAAGAGTGTAAAACATGATGCTTGGGTTAGGCATATATTACGAGTTTAAATCATGTTATAGATAAAAGCCCATTATTCAAGTGGAGACGGGTAGAGGGGCAGATCCATTATCAACCACTTCTCGAACCGTGCAACATTGTCTGAGTAGTTATTTAAAAAAAGAAAAAGATTAGGTATGGCATTTTTTGATATTTGATTATTACATGATTTACAAAATCAAACTCAATAATGACATTGTCAATGGCGTACTAATGTCTTGTTAGTGTAAGATATGCTTTAAAGATTAGTACTATGTGCTTTAATAAATTAATCTTAAGCAAGATTACTTTGACAAGACGCAAATCTTTGCTATAATCCAAATCTATGTACCTCTTGATATAGACATTAAGTAGAACTATTCAGATATTCTTTAGAGATTACAATTGATTGAAGAAATGAAAGTAAAAGATCTAGTTGGTGAAAGCAAAATGATGGTGCTGGTTATTCAATCTTCAAAATCACAACCTGCTTTTTCTTCTCACTTGGGGGGTCCAGAGGCGAAGCTAGAAGATAAGTTATGGATCGACCGATTTTACTAAATGTGTTTTAAGTCCTATAGTATATTATGAAATTCATTAAATATGATTAAACTTTAAATTTTATAATTCAGTTATTAGTATTTAATGCCGTCGTTGCGCTATTCAAAATTCATAAAGTTCAAATTCTGACCTCCAAAGAATTACAATAATTCTACTTCTAATCAGTTCGGGGAGAGTACTAGGATCTCTGCAAAAATAAAATGTATAGTTAAAACTCCGGCTATAGATCAAGGGTACTTATGCCTTTTCCCTACTTAATATCATACCAAACGATATCAGAGAAAATTTGCTGCTTAAGTTGAAAGAAAGAGACATAAAGTGAATGGAAGGTATGATATATACAGCATGATGTTGAAGATTGACAGCCTGGTAATTGGACCCCTCTTCCAACCACACAACAAAGACTTGATAATCCAAAGTACTAATAATTTGAGTTGTTTAATTAACTTACTAATTGTATAGGGATTAAAGTACACAAATTATTCTAAGATAAACAATAGTAAGAATTATTTACGGTCACTCATTGCTTCAAGTAAATCACTCTATACTCTCTCGCGGTCGAGTAATCTCGTTTTGTCGCAATTGATCAAGTCTTTTGTATTCTTACCTTGCCCGATCAACGTACAACTCTTGTAGCATAATGTACAACACTTGCAGACTAAGATTATTTGGGTTCAGATTTACAATTATACTTTCAGATTTACAATTATACTACATCTCATCTAATTTAATGGGTTCAAAATTTATTATTTGTATATATTTAATTTTTTTTAGGCAAAAATATAGGGTATGAGCGAAAGCTACCCCTTGCCTCTACACTAAAGACGCCCCTACTTCCAGCATGAAATTACTATGCTGATGTCACTACTTAATTTCTCCGAAACAGAGGTGGAGTCAGGATTTTAAGTTTATGGGTTCGGGAATCTAATTGTTTTAAGTTACTGGGTTCTAAACTAATAATTTATACATATTCAATGGAATTTTTAAGACAAATACAGGGTTCGAACCAAAACTACTGGGTTCGACTGAACCCGGTAGCGGCACTCTAGCTCCGCCCCTGTTCCGAAATCCTACTACCGTATCTCAAAAATCAATTGATTGGAATTCCAATATAGATATCGAACATCCGATTAAACATTTAAAAAATAAATATTTGGTTGATCAATAATCTCAACTATCCCAAAAGAAAATAACATATTCAATCAATCTCCCTCAAACTATCACTTTCATTAGTGGACCCTAATTGTTCGTTATGTCCGGAGTTAATTATGGAAATGCTATGATTAAGCATCTCTTCATGCAGTCAAAATCCATCATTCTTTCTTCTTCTTTTTCCTCTCATGATTTTAAAAGGTTTGGTATGATCAAAGTGATATAACAAATTGATGCAATCTTTCTAATTCACCAAACCAAGTTGACTTTTTTAAGGACTAGTAAAAGGAAGATTCGTGTATCTTCTCTAGAAGTATGATTTTTAACTTGTTTGAAAACTAGAAAAAAGGTTGCATATTTCATGAGAAATATATTTAGAGCTCTTTTTGGCATAAGAATTTTTTAATTTTTTTTTCCAAATTAGTGTTTGGCAATAAAATTTTCAATTTTCACTTGAAGATGAATGTTGGAAATTTTCAAAAATATGAATAACTCCAAAAAACTATTTTTCAAAATTTTCACTCAGACCACTCATAAAACTTCAAAAACTTATATTCATGTCCAAACACAACTCTAATTTTAAAATATCATTTTTATTGAAAAATTTTTTACTTTTTTTTTGGAATTTTACAATTCTTATGTCCAAACGCCCACTTAATAATCTTAATTAAAGAGCATTTGTATACACTAATCTTTATCTCTCCTTAAACCTCAAATATTTTAAAAGTAATGAAGGACTTGTTCTTAGAAAAATGTCAAATATTTTAAAATAAATGCATTATACGACGAATATTTGGGATCAAAAAGAATATAAGTGATCAAATAAAAGTATTTTACACTATACAGTATAAAATATTATATATTATTATTATTGTTATCGTTATTGTTATATTGGATTTTGCTGACAGCTTCTCACGGAGAAAAAGTTTTAACTTCCCTTATCCTCGTGGCTGCTTCTTAAAGCAATCTGTACACATCTGAACTCCACTAGTTTTATCTTCTTTTTTACGTACTAAGTTTTCACGTTATCCATATTTCTATCTGTTTTTTCTTAAATAATTTATTACTCCATCCATTCTAATTTATATTGACTCTTGATCTAAATATGCTATAGATATTTCTATAGGTATAAGTAGAATTGGACCTAGGATTTGAATGTGATAGGAGTATTATTATTGAATAAAAATTTGAACAAATGCTGAAGTAGAATCGACCTTAGGCAACACATTAAGCTAGCGTTTGATCATAGATCCCAAATTTATTTTGAAAAATCTGATTTGGGTGAAGTTTGTTTTGAAGATGAAAATATGTTTGGATATACTTCAAAATATATTTTCCAACTTTATTTTGAAAAAACATGTATATAATTCCCAAATTTTGGAATTTTGGCCCAAATTCAACTCAATAGCTGATTTTGG